GACAAATCTACGAGGCTCTTTGAACAGGTTAAACTGATGATTTATACACCCTCAGTTATTAAGCACTTTCAAAAAAAAAACTGATTGTATCACTTATCTGAGTATACAGCTTTCACATCTGGTAAAACTTCCTATGTTCCAGTCCCCCGCCAGTGGTCCTGGCATTACCCCTGCAGCCCCATAGTCAAATCCTCTTTCAGGGGGGCTCCTTTCTCCAAAGTCCTGTGTCAGCATCCTATGGAGATCTCACCCACTGGCTTGCATACAGGACCTAGACAATGCCTCCCGCTGCTGTCTCATACTGAGGAGTGCATCAATAGGAGAACACTGCAGTATGTCGCTGGATCAAGCGGGATCAGGTAAGCAATGGAGGGGGGGGGAGGTGCATGCAGAAGGTTTTTTCCCTTCCATAGAATGCAAAAAACTTCATTCTTTAGAATCACTTTTAAGCACTGCAGAATTAAGCTGACTGGAAAAATATATTTAAATGAAAATTGTTTTGGGGATTAGTAAAACAGCCAGCTGCTTGAACTTTGACCGGTTAGAAATTGACCAGGACTTTCAGGGAAGCCATACAGATTTACTTCATTGAAAGCTGTAAACTGCCTCAGCGCTACCTAAGAAAATGTTTATTATGCTCAATGTTTTAAATTATAAACTGAAACGTCAAGGTCTGCTCAGATGTTGCCGAAAGGCTGTCAGAGCCTGACAACGTGTTACAAAAAATGTTAGGGGTGTATTTAAAAAACAGTGTGGGGCAAATCCTCCTGTGAAGCTGCATGTATATACCGTGTTCTGTGCAGATGGGAGCAAAATCGAATATTATTAAGCCATTTTCTCGAGTGGTTCAGGAAAATACCACATAATAGCCACTAGATGGAGCTGATAAGAGTAAAATAAGTATTTGCTTCCTATGATCATCAGCTCCGTCCTGTGGTCATAATGTGGTATTTTCCAAAATCACTCTATTCTGTATAAAAGAATTACAAAATGTTCTAATGTTTTGTAAATCTATAGATCAATAGTTTCCTAAATAGTAAGGCAGGAAGTGTTTAGAGAAAGAGATTTATTTTCTTGAAGTGTAAAACTGCACTGAATCGCCAAGAAAATATTTTCTGCAGAAATATTGAAACTTTATAACTGACCTGGCTAAATTAAAGGCGTCATCAATAATCTGAGCACGGTTGATAAGAGGAATTTTCTGAAAATCAAAATTAGATAACATTTTATACATGATAAGAAAAATTTATACTTTTTTGTTGCATGTTTTTCCCAAATGTGTCTATTTGTCATCACTTTTTTTCACTCCTTCCAACTTTATGTGATGAAATAAAACAATACAAATGATTATGATGACCTTTATAGTAGAGAGCCATACAAACCATACAATTTAGGGGTTTAGTTTATTGATGGAGTAAATGTTCACTGGAAGAATTATTCCAGGTATGGATATTTTAAACATATTTACATCGATCCAGCTTCGACCAATGTAAATATGTGTAAACCATATCTGGCTGATCCCTCTGGAAGCTGGAAATCACTGAAGTGGGCACAGCTGTACGGTGATCTCCACCTACATCTGGATTCTGTGCTGAGTGGCTGCACCTCTGCTTACTGAACAGAGGTCATTCGCTCGGCATGGGCTCCATTCAGAGAATGCATCTTCTGATTTAATGCAAAGCGTTCTTTGATTGGACGAGGTGGAGAGTGTGACCTCACTGCCCCGCCTCTCCTCCTTGTCCATTCAGAGAATGCTTTGAATTCATTAAAAAAATTAAAAACATTATCTAAATGGCACCCAAGCTGAGCATTCCGACTGCCTGTGATCAGTAAACAAGAGTGCAGCCACTCAACACGGGACCCAGAAGAAGTGGAGATCACTGGAGTAGCGGTGTCTACTTCAGTGATTTCCAGCTTCCAGGATCATTGGCCAGGTATGGTATATACATAGTTATATGTAATTATGTTTAGAAAATATCCATGCCTGGATTTACTTTCTTTAACCACTTGATCTCCAGAAGATTTACCCCCCTTCATGACCAGGCCATTTTTTTCTTTTTGGCACTGCGTTATTCTAACTAGCAATTTTGCAGTCATGCAACGCTGTATGGAAATGAAATTTATATAATTTTTTCCCCACAAATAGAGCTATCTTTAAGTGGTATTTGAGCTCCACTGTTTTTTTTTTTTTTTTTTGCGCTACAAAAAAAAACCCGGAAAATGTTGAAAAACTGCTATAAAATATCCCATGAAAAACTTTAAAAAAATCTAATTTCTTCATAAATTTAGGTCAAAATGTATTCTGCTACATATTTTTAGTCAAAAAAATCCCAAAAAGCAGAAGTTATCTGCAAACTATGGGATATATACTGGAATTTGTTTTAATTTTTTTTTTTCATAATAGTAATGGCGGCGACCAGCGACTTATAGAGGGACTGGGTTATTGTGGTGGGCTTTCTGACACTAACTGACACTTTGTGGGAGCCAGTTACAATACAGTAATCAGTGCTAAAAATATACACTGCCACTGTACTAATGACACAGGTTGGGAAGGGGTTAAACATCTAGGGTGATCAAAGGATTAAATGTGTGCCTAACCAGTGTTTATCTGTGTACAGTGTGCCAATTTCACTTATGGATGTGCTGGATTTTATTCCCTGTTTTGCAGGGAAACAAAATCCAGCATATCCCTGCTGACAGATCTAAACTATGCACTGTTTACATATACAGAGCTCCGTCCAGTGTGTCTCCTCGCCGATCAGCGCTCATCTATAGGCCAGCACCCGCTGATCCAATTCTGCTGTGACTTCTGCTCCCTAACCGAAAGTGCTAAATCACATACTAGGTACGTGATCCAGCCCAGGGAGCCGTTCTGCCCCCGTACTCCTACAGGAGGGGGTTAAAGTGTATTTCTACTTTTGCAGTCAAATTTAGGAAAAACTCACTATTTGTTTGTGTCCCCACAGGAGCATACCTAACAAACATTTTACCTAACTTTTAGATGTTTCTTAGCAGAAGGCATCATTAATAACTGCAAGTATCTCAGAGCAAGTTAATTGTGAGTCTGTCCCAATAGGTCCCAAAAAGGTTTAGGGTTCTTATTAACATACACTGGAGAAGCCCAGCTTCTAAATCTTTAACCCTTTCTTGGCACAGAGAATGATCAAATCTAGTTTACAACTGATAAAGAGATCTGCCAGCACAGTACATAAAGGGGTAATTTTGGTAATCACAGCTCTCTAGTCCCCCCCCAATAAACAAAAAAGAATGAGAGTTATCAGAAAAGAGCATATAAAAGGTAAGCAGCAATTCAAAAATATTTTTTTAAAGTTATGCCATGTGAACAAGAACTTGTGACAACTATAACCAATATATGGCTGCAAAATGTGAAAATACACTTTAGGTAGGTGATTAAGGTGGAGCTGTGTTCACATTATATAACTAATCATGTGAAAGGGAAAAATAAAAATGGGAATTTTTCTTACATGTGTAGTGCCCCTCTGGTGTACATGGTTGTTTAGTGTAGTTAGAGGCTTGCTAGAAGCCTGGGTTTAGTTAAAGGGTTATTTCAAGTCAGGGCTGGAGGGCTCTACAGGTCAGTTCTTTGGTACCTCCCCCTGCTCTAGAAGCTTGGAGAAGCTTCTAGAAGTCAGTAGGCGGAGGTGAGGAGGGGCTGATATGCATATTTTATGGGAATCTGACCAATCCCAGGCAGAGAGGCCTGGCAGTGTGGCAGATCAGCCCATACATATGACAGAGCCTGGCCAGCAGGGGAGTCAGGTGGAAGATGGAGAGCTGAGAGGTGCTGCTGTGTAGCCTGGAGGGGATCCGGAAAAAGGGGGATCTTGCTTCCAGGCTGGAGGCTGGAAGCTGAAAGAGGAAAGCTGAAAGAGGGAGCTCCACTACCCTGCCACCCTCCAGGGAAGGACAGCCTGCAAAGCGTGGAGAGGAACCAGCCCAGCTACAAAGGCATGAAAGCAGTTCTATCCATAGCTATGGTTGCCTCCTCATTCCTTTAAACCGGAACACATATTAATTACACAGGTTCTGTGGCAGACTAAGGTGATAATTAAACTCATCTACTGCCTTATCTACATTAAATTAGCCTCAGAAACTGTGTAATTAATATGTGTTTGGGTTTAAAGGGATGAGGTGGCAACCCTATCCATAGCTGCAGGCAGGGGCGGACTGACAACTCATGGGGCCCCCGGGCAATAGGGGATCATGGGGCCCCTGTGTCCTTGCCCAAACTCAAAAAAGCCTATGAAAAAGGAACCAGGGGCATCTCATGGGGCCCCCTACTCACCCCTAACCTTGGGCAGTGCCCAAGTTTCCAAATGGTCAGTTCGCCCCTGGGTGCAGGACAAGGACAGTGTGTGAGTACCTCTACACCCTCAGGGCCTAGAAGGGAGAAGTCTGCTGGATGCAAGTTCTGGCAATTCTTCAGGGGACAATTTATAGTTTACCCAATCCCTTGTTATGGGATACCGTAGCCAGGTGGGCTGGTATTTTGAACACTTAGGGGACTTAGAGCTCCTACAAGTTGATACTTTGCTAAAATCCATTCAATGGCTTCTCCAAGTTACTGTACTTTGCTAAAGAGACTGTCCGGCTGGACCACAGTCATTCGTCTGCTTTTGTTGTAGCATTTTCTAGAGAAGGTTGTTGTCTTCAAATTGTTATTCTGCAGACAAATGAGGCACCCCGTAACCCCTTTACCTCATCCAAGTTAAATTCCCTAATAAAATAAAAAAAACTAAGCCCATGGATTATTTTTTGGTTCTGGATGCAAGTGGAAAATTTGTGTTGCTTGGCTGTGCAGGAAGTAAAGGGGGACCCAAAACCAGCGGCTCTGAACAGGGTAGCGCTACACATGTGAATGGATAAGTAAAATAAAGTGAACATTCTGTACTCCTGTCTGTTAGTAAATCAAGGCTACTGAGTAAAGTCAGTTTCAATACTACGTCATTAGGACGCCGTCAACTTACAGAATGATCTGTGTTTAATTGATTTAGAAGGTTGTTCCAATTCTTGTTGTCATAGTTAACCCTGTAGTATCCAGTGACATCAAGGTTAACCAGGATCCAGTCAGTTTCAGAAACCATGAAAGCATCATTCCTGTCTGGAATAAAGAAGACAATAAAAGATGTTTTATGATGTTTAGATGTTTTTATGAAGAATTTAAACATCCGGACGTCCGGCGAGACGGACGTGTCTCGGCGAGCTCCTGCTCCCCCCGGCCCCAATCCGCTGCCATCTGGGCGGCAGCGGACCCTGACGGGGGCCCCACGACGACCTCCGGTCCCTGTTCGCCAGCCAGGGAAGGCCACTGGACCTTTCTCCCGGAGCTCCGGGACTTGCGGCCTACCCGGCACCTGAAGCCGCGGCCTCGATTTCTGGCGCGGCCGACCAGGATCGCCGGACATCAGCCCGGACTACTGCCACTCCGCTCCTCGGTCCCCGCCGATCAGGGGATCACCCCTGCGCCCCTACCGCTGCCATCAGGGCCCATCCGGGCCCCTGTGTCTGCTGCCGAGGTCCCCACCAACACCCACAGTCACTCCGTCCCTCCAGCGGAGCTCCGGCGCGTTCGCAGCAGCCTGAGGCCTACCGCGGCAACCCGAAGCCGCGGTGTTTCCTGCCAGCCGTGGCTGGAATCGCGGCGGGAATTGCGGCCGCGGCGGGACGCCTCCGCTGCTCCGGGAAGCTACCACCACCACCAAACGGTCCTGCTAACCCAGGAGGGATCCACCGACGCTCCAGGACACCAGGTACTTCACCAGGGGCGCCCACTACCCACCAGGGAGCCCAACCACCATCACACCGCCAGCCTCCAGGGACTCACTCACTCAGGGATCCCACCATCCACCTGAAACCCCAAACCACCAGGGACCCTAAGCCACTATCCCTCCAGGGATCGCTACTACCCCACCAGGGATAGCACGGCCACCATCCCACCGGGGATCCCCTGCCCACCACCCCACCTGGGATTACCAGCCAGCCACCACACCAGGGAACGCTCGCCCAGCACCCTGATTTCCGGCACGCTATTCCCTCTGGCGACGCCCCGGCGACTAATGGCCCACCACGACCCTTGAAGCTGCGGTCTCTCCTACCGGCCGCAACAGATCACGGTTGAGCACAAACCACGCAGGGCCGACGATCGCTACCCGCAACGCCCCGCTCGACTCTGATGACGATCCTTCAACACCTTCAGCGCCTCACGACGCCGAGCCCTCAGCACCCGACGCCTGGCCTCAACAACCCCAGTCACCGAGCCGCCAGCATCACCAGTCGCCGTGCCTACCATCACCCCAGCCATCGCACCCCTACGACGACCCTCCACTAGCCGAACCACCGTACCCACTGAAGACATGCCACAGCACCCATGGTCGCCAGCTTACTGCACCCACAGACTGCTGCCAACCAGCTGCCGCCCTCCACCCTCACTCTACCCCTACAGAAGGACTCAAATGACTCTCCCATGGTAACACAGATTCCCCACACACACCTTGCCCTGACCTGTATCCCTTCACCTCCCCTGACCCAACTGTCACCGCACCCACCCCAACATGCCTCCTGCACTCCTCCTCCTCATTTTCCTCTCCACCATCCCAAAAATCGCCTCCCTCTACCCGCCTACCCCCCCAAAACAGCTCTACATTGCCCCTTCACTACTCCCCTCTCCCCACTACGGCACTCACCACCTCCTCCTGCTACTCCACTCCCCCGTCGACCCACGTGCCACCACTATCAGACCCACACGCTCCTACACTTCCCATTCCCATGCCACCTTCCTCACCCTTCTCCTTCTCCTATCTGCTGGGGACATCTCCCCGAACCCTGGCCCCTCGCCACTCACCACCCCTCCTCTAGGGACCCCCCTGCTCCCGCCAGCTGCCGTAACCCCCTCAACCTCATATCTGTGCCCCTTCTCCCCGCATCCATCTGCCCCCCTCTCTCGGTTGCACTCCTGAACGCCCGCTCGGTCTGCAACAAACTTACTGCCATCCATGACCTCTTTATCTCCCGCTCACTTAAACCTCCTAGCCATCACCGAAAACCTGGGTACAGGCCACTGACTCCACCTCCCCTGCGGCACTCTCCTATGGAGGTCTCGTCTGGTCCCATTCACCAAGACTGAGCGGTCACAAAGGTGGTGGGGTCGGCCTGCTCCTATCACCCGCTGAGCACCTTCCAGGTCCTCCCTAATCCTCCCTCCCTAAACTTTCTCTCCTCCTTCGAGGCTCACTGCATCCGGCTCTTCTCACCCACCCCCCTAAGGATCGCAGTGATCTACAGGCCTCCGGATCCATACCCCGCTTCCTGGATGACTTCGCTGCCTGGCTTCCCTTCTTCCTCTCCTCTGAGCTACCAACCATCATCCTCGGGGACTTCAATATCCCCATCAATGACAACAGCCCGGCTACTTCCCAATTCCTCCACCTAACCTCCTCCTTCGCGCTCACACAGCACACTCAATCCTCCACCCACATCATTGGGAACACCCTGGACCTCGTCTTCTCCACCTCTGTACCCCTCAACCAGTTCTCTAACACCCCCTTCCCTCTCTCCGACCACCACCTCCTCACGTTCTCCATCTCCCCCTTCCCCTAACTCCCCCCCCCCCAGAGCGCCAAACCATCACCAGCCGCAACCTTCGCAACCTGAACCCGGCCCCCCTCCACTCAGCTGCCGACCGCCTACACGACAGAATCCTTCCACTGTCTTGTCCTGACCTAGCCACTAACACGTACAACGACTCACTATCAGCTACCCTAGACTCTCTGGCACCCCTAACCACACGCTACATCAAACCCAGACCGCTCCAACCATGGCAGAACGACCACACTAAATGCCTCAAACGTCGCAGTCGTGCGCTGGAGAGACTATGGCGCAAAACCAGGTCCCCCCGTTCATTCTCCCTCTACAAATCTGCCTTCCTCACTTACACCTCCTCCCTCCACACCGCCAAGCAGGCTTACTTCGTAAACCTGATTAACACCCTCTCCTCCTGCCCTCGCCGACTCTTCTCCACCTTCAACTCCCTGCTCTCTCCCCCCCCCCTCCTCCACTCAGTACCTCACTCACCGCCCACGAGATTGCCACTCATTTCCACAATAAAATTGATGCTATCCGTCAGGACATAGTCAACTCGCAATCTACCTCCCCACCTAGCCTCCCCCCCCCTATCTCCCCCTCATCTCTTCCCTCCTCTGACCTCGCAACCGCACTGCCCCCCCTCCACACCCAAGACCCCGCTTACCGTAAACCCCACCAGCTCTGCACTCCTTCAGCCCCGCTACCACTGAGGAAGTCACCAGGGTCCCTTCTCTGAAGCCCGCCTCACTACCTCGCCCCCCTAGCAACCCTATCCCCTCTCCGTCTCCTCCTCCAGTCACCCCCCTCTTCCCTCATCTGCTCCCTCACCCACATCTTCAATCTCTCCCTCTCTACCGGCGTATTCCCCCTCCCCCCTAAAGCATAGCGCACATCACCCCCATACTCAAAAAGCCCTCCCCTGGACCCCTCTGACCCAAACAACCTCAGACCCATCTCCTGCTGCCACTCACTTCCAAACTCCTGGAGCGCTTAGTCTACAAAACCGCCTAAGCGCCCACCCTAACTGACAACAACCTCCTTGATCCACTACAGTCCGGCTTCCGTCCCCTACACTCCACCGAAACCCCGCCCTCAAAATCAAAATCACCAACGACCTACTTACCAGCCAAAGCCAAAGGCGACTACTCTGTCCTCCTCCTCCTGGACCTCTCCCGCCCCTTCGACACAGTTGACCCTCACCCCCTCCCCCCTTAATAAACTATTCTCCCTTGTGGCGTCAGAGACACCGCTCTCAAACTCCTGGTTCTCCTCTTACCCTATCCCGACGCTCCTTCAGCGTTACCTACAATGGTGCCTAACCTCCCCCCACCCCCCTCTCTGTTGGGGTCCCCCAGGGCTCTGTCCTTGGACCCCTTCTCTTCTCCATCTACACCTCCTCCCCTTGGCAAACCTCCCCCCCCCCAATCTAACTCCCACCGGCGCCTCACCAACTACCCTATCTCTATGCTGATGACAATCAAATTTACCATCTCCACCCCTCACCTCACCTCCACTTTCTCCGCCGCATCACCACAATACACCTCCTAAACGACATCTCTGACTGGATGTCGCTCCATTTCCTCAAACTCAACTCTCCAAAAACCGAGCTTCTCGTCTTCTCATCCTCCTGCCCGCGCCACCCCCCCCCCCCCCTAAACCATCCTACTAACATCCCACCAAACCCAATCACCGCTCACGGTTCCTAAACCCCTCCAAGCCAAAGTCCTTAGCGGGTTCATTCTCCTTAAATCCATCTCTGGCTATACCACTCCTCCAGGGATTACCCTCTCTCACCCCATTCGCTCCCCCTTCAGCTTTCTCTTCGGTCCTCACCATGCCCCTTCTTCCCCCTTCTCTCACTCACCTCCAATCCTAAACCCCTCATCCCCCACGAGTCAAACACACATTCCTCTTCCACAAAACTTCACCATATATCCCCATCAACCCCTCTCCTTGGCACAAACACTCCAATTTCCTCTCTCAAACATCAACTCCACCTCACCTCCATAAACCGACCCGCATCACTCCTTCCTAACCTCAGATCTGGATCGCCTCCATTTCCTCAAACTCAACCATCTCCAAAACCGAGCTTTCTCCGTCTTCCCTCCTCCCGCTATAGATTCCCGGCCCCCCCCCCCATCCTATCCATCACTGACTATTCCATCACTGGGGGGGACTAACATCACCACCATCAATCCCGCCCCGCAAGCCAAAGTCCTTGGGGTCATTCTGGACTCTAACCTCTCCTTCCAACCTCATGTCAAATCACTGACAAACACATGCAGGCTCCACCTCCGCAATATCGCCAAAATACGCACCTTCCTTACCCCAGACACCGCTAAACTACTTGTGCACTCCCTGATTATCTCACGCCTTGACTACTGCAACTCCCTCCTCACCGGCCTACCCCAGTGCAAACTCTCCCCGCTTCAGACCATCCTGAACTCAGCTGCCAGACTCATCCACCTCACCAGCCGCTCCACCTCTGCCACCCCCCTCTGCCTCTCCCTCCACTGGCTC